GTGTGGAGACTGTGTCTCACGGAGTATTTTGTTTACTTTTTTGTGTGCTGTGTGGAGATTGTGCCGCATGGTTTGGGAAGGGTGGGGGAAGAGATGGCGCATTTCTCTATCGGATATCGATGCCGTTAACGGTACATGGCACGCCGAAGGGCACACGCCTTCCGTCTCCATCTCGAGAAACTGCTGTGTCAGGCAAAGATGCAATGGTACATGCAATTTTTACGAACCACCCGCCCGCGCGTGAATCTCTCATGTGTGACCCACGAGCAATTGGGACGCTTCTTTCTAACCAATCACACACCCGCGTTATCCTCTCATGTGTGACTCAGGAGCAATTGGGACAGCTCTTCTCCGGCGCCGACGGCCGACGGAGGTTCTTCCCTTGGCAGCCCTTCCTCCGACGGCTATGGCTATGGCTATGGAAGGAGAGGAGGTGTGTGTGTGTGCTCGGGATATAGATGTCATGGTGGTGTGTTGCTGGAAGGCGTTCGTTGAAAGGGTTGTCGCGATTAATTTTTTTTTTTTGCATTAAAGCTGTTGTTGTGTCGTTACGGTGTTGGCATGGCAGTGCTATAGTGGCAGTATGAGTAGTAGGAGCAGTAGGAAGCGGCAAACGGAACATAGTGACGTGAAGGGATAGGTTTCAGTAGGTTTCAAGGTACTGTGGGTGAGTAAATAATTCCGGGAAACCTGTCCCTCCGGTAAATGTTTTCTTGCATCCCTCCCCTCCCTCGCCGCCATGTCTTGTTCGGTTTCGGGATTCCTGCGTTTTGATTTTCTGGCTCTCTGGCTGTGTTTTTCTGTTTCTGTCTGTAGGTTACGGGGGCTCGCGTACGCCGCAGTCTGAGAGCTACTCGCCCATGAGCAGCAGCCCCGGCGGCGGCAGCGTTCAGAACGGCTCCTACACCCCGGTGAGTGGGAGAAACACACACAGCAGTAGGAGTGTTGGAAGAGATGAGGGAGGAGTCGGCTAGAGCGACAGCGACAGCGAGAGAGAGAGAGAGAGAGAGAGAGAGAGAGAGAGAGAGAGAGAGAGAGAGAGAGAGAGAGAGAGTTGGCGACAGAAAGGTAGAGGCGAGAAAGAACGGGGGCTCCCTCACAGCGGTCTTGGAACCCATGAGAGCAGAGCCATCTGCAGAGAGAGAGAGAGAGAGAGAGAGAGAGAGAGAGAGAGAGCGGGGGGGGGGGGGGGGGGGGGGGGGGGGGGCCCCCCAAAATTTTGGCGGCGGGGGTGCGCGCTAAAAACCTCTCTCGTCGTGGCGGTTGTACTCCTGCCCCCCCCCCCCCCAAAACGGCCCCTTCCGCCCGGTCCGGGGCGCCCCCGCCCCTTGCCCTTGTTCCCGCCCTCCGCCCCCCCTCCCCCCCCCCCCGCAGGTCCCCCCCCCCAAAAAATTGGGCCCCCCGGGGGTTTATTGGGGGAATTTGGGGGGGGGCCAAAAACCCCCCCCCCTTTTTTTTTTTCCCATTTTTGGGGGGGGTTTTTTTTCCCGGGGGGGGCGGGGATAAAAAGGGGGGGCCCCCTTTTAACTGTCCCCTTTCGGGAAAAAAAACTAATTTATCCCCCGGGGGGGGGGGGGGGTCGGGGGGCTCCCGGTCGCAGGGGGGGACCCC